CTTCAGTAAATTTTCATATAAATTATTTATATAAATGAACTTAATTACAAAAAGTAAAAATAAATCTTGATGTATGACTTGAAGAATCTAGTTAACTTCAAACAGAATGATTCTCAAATATAAGAAATGATATTATATTTTTAAACAATGTTTTTTTTTTTGCTTATAAAGCACAACTTTAATCACACATTTTTTCATTTTGTGTAATCCTTTAGTAGCAATTCAAATAAATTAACAAAACAATTTTCTGTTCATGTTTATATTGCAGTGGAAAACAATGTTTATTTTTAAAGGTGCTGTATGTAAGTTTCTGACTCCTCTAAAACATAAAAATACCATAATATGTTTGCGAATATTTAAGCAACATGCTAAGTGAACAGTCTTGTTTATATGGAAAACAATGCTGAGTCAGATATTCTGCTTTGAAAATGTGTTTTCCGTGCCGGAACGGCTGTCTTTGTTTTGGTCATTTAACCCACCCAATGCCAGTTCAGCCAATTATATTTAAGCACCCTGGGTTGCCTTGGAGTGATTAATTCAGTCAGGAAGGCCTTCAAAGTATGCGTCCGCTACCGAAAATGCGACGTCCAGAATATCCGGTGTCTGGACAGTAGCAGACTCCGAAATGACACACAGATTCAGAGTTACACATGAGGTGGTTATTAATTAGCAAGTAACATAAACATAACGAACGTAAATAACATACTACGTGACCAGATTTGCAGTGATAAGCAATTTGGCTGTTTCCACCAGACGAAACATGACAGAAATGTAAATACAGCCATTCACAAGCACAGAATAGTGCACTCACTGCACTCCAGCAAAATGATAAGGTTTTCAGTCTATTTAATACATATTAAACCTCCTTAACGTTATTAAATGTAGATGCTGAATCACTGATATGTGTTGGTTTGCACTGAGTCTCAGTTCTAAAGCTCCATTTCAAATGGTTTATTTTATTTTCAAGATCTGAGGTGAACTATCTGCTGCTGCTTTCAGTAGTACAGCAATACATGTGATGTAAAATGGCATTCAGACTCACATTATTAGCATTTAACACTGAATAAAGCACATGAGCTGTACCTAAGCTGAGCATTGTCAGTTTTCTGTTGTTGAGCTTCAAGAAACAGAAGCCGTTTCAAGAATATAAATTTCAGGTGTTGGTTAAATATTCCTTCTAGCGCTTGCCGCTGCCTTTATTTACACCACGACTTAAACCAGCCTTTAGGCTCGATAGTCAGGCACGTCCATCTGGTAACCTGCGCTTGCGTGTGTTTTGAACAAGGAGTGCAATACCTAGTTCAGCCACTGGGTGTCAAACTTACATACTGCACCTTTAACTCATTTGTCCAGAAATGTCATCATTAATAATAAATTAATATAAATAATTATATATATTCATCCTAGAAAGAAGACTAAATCTCTAAGAAAGAAAACCTCAATTTGCGGTGTCATTTTTGTCATTTATATGACACTCTATGCAGATCAAGCGCCTAACAAAATCTTCCTGCTTACTCTAGAACAATTAGCTATTCCCAAAAATGCCTATTCAAGGTATTTAGTGAAAAATCATGCATCTGTATAGTACAATACAAATCCCACAATAAGAATATTGTTCATGTCATATTTTTCCAATGTAGAGCAGCCCTGAAAATACAACCATCCCAATCTTAAAGTCTGCAAGAACTGAAAGATGTGACGTATTTTTTCTTCGTGTTGTGACAATTCCTATAGAAACGGATTATTAAATTAGGAAAAAGTGGGCGTGGCTTGTTTTTTTACTGCGAGCTGATTGGATGTAGTAAAGTAGGCATTTCATTCAGAAAAATTTCTGTTGTCAAAACTGAGGGCTGGAGGGGCGTGGTTAAGTATGTTAGCCACGCCCATTACCTCAGACAGACGTCATCTGAGATTTGAACTGAAAACCAACAGGAAGTGCATTTTCAGATTTAAATTAAAGATTACAAGGGCACGCTATTGTTGTTTTCTTAATGACATGCACAGATGAATTGTCCACCACAAGACTATAATGCTAACTGTAATGCTAACAAAATCAATGTGGTCTGTTTTGATTTCATGTGCACTTTAAAACAACAAATGAAGTAAATAAGTGTCTGGTGTTTCTGCGTTTTCAACAGCTTTAAACGATTCAAATAGCAAACGTGCTAAGCGCATTGTCCTCGCTTTGGCCCTGACTTAATGATATTAGCGAAATAAACAAGCGAGTGCTGACAGAGTGATAAATGTGTGTAATGTGGAGAGCGGGCCACAGGTGATAATGTCCCGATGTGTTCAATACCCGTATGCCCACGAGGCCGAGCGGTCGTATCATACCTCTCTGCTGGCGTACACACAGTGCTGTCCGTCAACTGGAAATCTGGCCCACTTTCCCCCCGCGGACAGACACAAAGGCCAAACAGACGGATGCGTCTGCAATTTGGCACCTTGTCAATACTCTGCCTTTTCTCTGCCAGTGAGACAGAAAGACCAGCAGTGTGTCTCGTAACACACAAACACACACAGTCCATGCTAACACACTCTCTCTATTCTCTTGGTCTCTTTCTCTTCATCTCTCTCTCTCTCTCTGACTATTCCTCCCTGATCCCAGTCCGTAAAATCCGAGTCTCATCCCCGTCCACGAGTGTCACTGTGGAGGGCAAAACACATTCAGACTCCGACAGGTCCTCTGCTGCGCCCACTGCACACACACACACACACACACACACACACACACACACACACACACACACACACACACACACACACACACACACACACACACACACACACACTTCTGCCAGTGTTCACTCATGTTGTTTCAAATCCATGTTTCTTACAAATAATCAAACAAGATGTTTAGCAAAATGTCTAAGCTGCTCTTTTACATAGTGAAAGTCATAATTTTCCATGACAGTACATAATATTTTACTACACTACCTGACAAAAGTCGCCTATCCAAGTTTTAGCAACAAATAATAACTTGACTTGATCATTTGGTATCAGAAGTGGCTTATATGAAAGGCAAAGGTCTCTAGATTACACTTATTTAACTAAAATAAAATATGATCATGCCTTGATTTTTCTCCAGAAAGTCTCCAGAAATGTGCACGGGACTACGTTTTCAGAATGAGACTGGGTTGTATTTTTCAGTCCAAAGAGAAATGGACTACTGTTTGTTCTTATTATTATTTTGTGCTGTATTAATTAGTTACTGAGCAGCAATAAATAACACTTTAAATCATATAGTTTTCACGAGATTTTCTAAACTCTCATGCCCGTAGCCAGGGGGGGTTCGGGTGGTTCGTTAAAAGGTCCAGATTTTGTCCCTTTAATTATTTTTATGTAATTTAACATTATATATTTATTATATAATTAATATAATATATTTATATTCAATATTTATTGTAATAGTGTCATTTTAATCAACTCTGGCCAGTAATTCGAATCCCGTAGAGCCTCAAAGCCACAATAATGTGACGCGAGTAACGTAACCCACTGCGAGGTAACATTTGAATCTTTGATGCGACATTCATGGATACTGACGGCCAAACAGGGTAAGGCAAAAGTTACTAACTTCCTAACAGATGAAAATCTGCCCCATCCATGAGGTTCTAGGCTAACTGGCCGCATTACCCGGGACGTCCTGTATATTTATTGAATTGTCCAGTACATGACCTCCCTTTCCCTATTTTCGCCATTAATTTTTTTTTTTAAATAACTGTCCGACGAAAGCTTTAAATGGGAAGCGGAGTCCTCAGCTGTCAGATGTCACTTCACAGCAAAAGGCGCAATCCCGTCACGTCTGTGTTTTTGAGGCTTTTTTTCTCACTTTATTCGTTTTATTCTGATCGGATATAAACCCAATCGCTCAAACCACTTCAGAAGGTGACCTGGGATGCATTCCAGATAAAACTGGACTGGTCTAATCATTTTTGGGACGAAATTAATATAAACAAAATAAATTATTACCTGGAGAAAATCTGACCATGCGCCTGAAACACCTGTACGTGTAATAAGACTTTATGTTGTTTAACCAAAGAGGCTAGAAAAAAATCTAAAGAATAATTAATATTGTATTATTATTATTATTATTATGATTATTATTATTAATAGGCTATTATTGTTGTAATTATTATTTTTTTTATTGAAATGTCCAAATTGTGACTGAGGGCAGTTGCATGTGCTGGCCAGGTTGTTTTTATTCTAATAAATGACAGTAGACTACAGTTTTTTTTACTTTAAGACTTTAAGACAGATATTTCCTAATGATATATAATACATTTGTTTTGTTTTGTTAATTAATCTTATTTAAATTTTTTTTATTGCATTTTTTGGGAAATATTTTTAGTACATCAAAAAGTGTGGTTATGATCAAGTCTGATTAGCTAATCGAGCAAAAAAAAGTCACTAAAATGCAGGATTGAAATCTCATAGTTAAATAGAAACTCAAATAACTGCAAAAAGGTTCACTTTTTCAGAAAAAAAGAACCACCCCTCTCACCAGGCTGGCTACGGGCCTGAGTAGTGTTTTGAAATTAATAAATGCGTAATCATCATGATAACCGTGATTATTCCTCACACTATAATCCTACTATCAAAATCTATAACCGTTGCATCCCCACTTAACATGATTTCAAAGTATTTAAAATAAATTAAATGTACTTTAATCCAGACACTAAAATAGGATTTATCATGCTCGACTCATAAATAAATATCAGGAAATGCATCAAACTCTGTATTTTGGCTCACATTGTGCCTATGAATAAAACTGAGGTGATTTTTCGTCATCAAGTAGAAAGTAAAAGCACAAAAAAAATGGTAAAAATCTAAATTCAGGAAACCTTTGCTTTAAAAAAAAAAAAAAGCTCAGAAGTATTTGAAACAACATGAGATGAATAAAAATTACAGATTAAAAAAAAGTATATTAAGTGAACTATTCCTTTAAACGTGGGAGGGGGTGTGCCTTAAAACTAGCTACCTATAAGGATCCTGGTACTTACATCAGCAAACTTGTGGTTCCTGAAATGCGATTTATTGCACTTCAACAGCTGCACGGCCAGATTGCAATCCTGTCGATAGCGTTCCTGCAAAAGGAGAGAAAATGAGTTCAAGAACAAGAGTCAGGGAAACGGGTATGACAACATCAAATAAAGATAATCACATTTTCATTAAACTGAGAAAAAGCAAGTGTACACAAAGGTTTGGACACAGTAGACTGTATGTACAGATCATCACAAATGTGTCGAGTAAAAGCCTTTTAGGTTGAAACAACACTACCTGACAAAAGGTCTTGTCGCTTATCCAAGTTTTAGGAACAACAAATAATAACTTGACTTCAGGTTGAGACATTTAGAGCCCTATCATACACCCGGCGCAATGTGGCACAAGGCGGGCGCAATACTCTTTTGCTACTTTTAGCTCGGCGCAAGGGTCATTTTGAGGTGTTGCGCCACGCTGTTTAAATAGCAAATGCATTTGCTCTCAAATGTGCGCCCATAGGTGTTCAGGTCTAAAAAAGCAGGCGTGTTTTGGCGTGTTGCTATTTTGAGAAACTGTAAATAGTCTGTTCTTTAGACCAGAACAAAGTCGGTCTATTGTCTGGCGCAAAGTGCGCCTGGCTTACACACTACACACAAGATGCAGAGCAATACGCAAATATCTTTACATATGAAAAATATATAATATCTTAAGGATATATATATTAAGGATATTTACAGGATATAAATATAAATGATTAAAATATTACAAAACATATTAATCTTTAGGCAACATGAAGATTTAAAAACCACTGCCTTACTTTCTTCATCTCGGGAGGCTTTTTCAGTTCATTCAATTTGCTTTTGTATAATGTTATTATTATTAGAAGTTTTATTTATTATATGCATATTTATATTTGTTTTATTAAAAACAAGCTTAGATTTGCCCACCTGTCAGGTTTTAGACCATATGGGGCATGGCAGGTGTATTTGGAAATAACTCAGTATTTTAAACACACTTGATTATTATTGTTCATTTATTTATTTGCTGAAAATTAGAACTGAATTTAGAAATAGTTTTGAAACAAATCTTTGCGCTTAACAAAATAAATTAATTATTTATAGGCTAATTGATGTCTGTGCGTAAAGGTTTCCCCATCCACGAGAGCAAAAGCGAAAGTGAACTTCCTTTACGTCAAAATGCGCTTATGGCGCGTCGCAGCTGGCTCTTAAAGGGAATGGGAGATGAGACTCTGATTGGTTTATTCTCAAAACACACCTATAACTCATTAAGAAAATAAACTCAACCCTTTTAGACCATGCGCCATGGCGCAAAGCCGATTATCCCATCCTTAAATTAGCAAAAATGCATCCTGACACGTCCTGAAAGCGTTTGCGTCCTGCGTTTTACGCTTTGCGTATGGACCGTCAAAATAGAGCCCTTAGTGTCAGAAATGGCTTATATGAAAGGTAAAGACCTCAAGATTACGCTTATTTTACCACAATAAAATATGATCATGTCTTGCTTTTTAATTCTTTAATTAGGTTTACGAGCTCGTTTGCATTTGTGAGCTCGCGTTCCACTGCCGTTTGTCATTGCTATGGCCACTGTCCGCTGTTCCTACACACGTGCAGTGGTCAAGCTTCAGAATGCTTCAGCTTTTGCTGCTGTGTGGATTAATACTGAATGTGTGTCATGGTTAAGAATGGAGTAATATGCTGGTGTTTGACTACACTGCTTTTGGTGGTAAGGTGTCTGAATAACACTGTTGAGTAAGTTTTACTATGAAGCGTGTTTCGGGCATGCGTTGCGATTGGATCCTATACCAATGTTGGGGATGGGAACCCTTGACAAACCGCATTGGGCATTTGTCTCGCGCTGAAGGCTGGCGAACAATCACAACAGACTGTCATCAGTTCAATCAGCGCAGATTAGCTTCGTGCTAAGGAGGGGTTTGGGAACAAATGAATCACTGAACGATTCATACGGGAGGCGCTGGGATAATGGCTAAGACCATGAAAGTGTTTTTTGACCTAGCATGCATATCAGACTGCTGTTGGAGATCCATATAACCAAAATATGACCATATTTCATGTATAATATTGGCTCTTTAACTGCTTACATTGGATTCAATGGGATTAATAAACACATGACCACAACAACATATAGTTTATCTTTATCTTTTATGTGCCGTTTGAATTATTGCATAAAAAATGCTTGACGGAAACGTGCATATGAAATGTACATAAAAAAAAAAACTATATGCACATACACGCGGCTGGGGGGGTGGGGGCACTGTTTTATGCCATATTCCAGTTTTGCGCATACATTTAATTTGCATCTTTGGATAGAAACATACAGCAGCTAATGACAACAAACCACACACACTCTGTGTCCAAACCTTTGACTGATGCTTGACTCAGTAAAACAAGGAAAATGTCACCCAGGGCTGCTGCAGTATTCAGGATTTATAACTAAAAAAGCCCATAAAGATAAAAAAAGTGGTTGCGCTCTAAACCTCTGAGGAAAGAGGTATGATTGATGTGCGCTTGATCTGTCTAAGGAGATGAAGCGCAGCGTTTAAACACCGCCAACAGACGGCCATCACTTTCTCCAGAGCTATAATTAGTTCCCCGTGGCACCACTTTCTACATGCAGTGTAATAAAGGCATCTCAGAATTACCTGCGTTCGGGCGCTTTGTTTTTCCTCATTGAGTTATGATCCTAAAAACCCACCATCGGAATGGCAATCTGTCTGCTAATTTACAGTCCTCTGTAAACGACTGGACTGTCAGGAGTGTTTATGAAATCTCTTATTATAATCGAAGGCTTTTCAGTGCCATAGATAGCATTTAAAAGCAATCTGATGTAAATGGGGCTTCGTCTAAAGCAGGGGTCTCAAACTCATATTGACGGGGGGTCTTTTGAGTGACTGACAAACCATGGGAGAGCTGTTTTAACATTCAAGCTAAAAAAAAAAAAGTGGGGTTTCTTATACATATTAAAACGGTAGCTTAAATTAGCATTTCGACTTTTAATTAGCACATTGTATTATTAGTAGATGAGAATCAGCAACTACAAGTCCGAGGCCATGGTGCTCCACTGGAAAAAGATGGTTTGCCATCTCCAGGTTGGAGGAAAGTCCTTACCCTAGGTGGAAGAGTTCAAGTATCTTGAGGTTTTGTTCACAAGTAAGGGAAGGATGAGACGTGAGATTGACATGTGGATTGGTGCAGCGGCAGCTGTGATGTGGTCAATGCACCGGTCCGTTGTGGTAAAGAAGGAGCTGAGCCGAAAGGCAAAGCTCTCGATTTACCGGTCAATCTACGTTCCTACTCTCACCTATGGTCATGAGGTTTGGGTCATGACCGAAAGGACAAGATCTCGGTTACAAGCAGCCGAAATTAGCTTCCTTTGCAGGTGGCAGGGCGCACCCTTATAGACAGGGTGAGGAGCTCTGCCAGCCAGGAGGAGTTCGGAGTAGAGCCGCTGCTCCTCCACATTAAGAGAAGTCAGCTGAGGTGGCTCGGGTATCTGTTTCGGATGCCTCCTGGATGCCTAACTAGGGAGGTTTTACAGGCATGTCCCACCAGGAGGAGCCCTGGGGGAAAACCCAGGACACGCTGGAGGGACTATGTCTCTCGGCTGGCCTGGGATCCCCCCGTAGGAGCTGGAGGAAGTGTCTGGGGTGAGGGAAGTCGGGGGTTCTCTCTTAAGACTGCTGCCTCCGCGACCCGGCCCCGGAAAAGCGGTAAAAAATGAATGAATGAATGAATGAATGAATATACTATTAGTATTCTGTCCTAACCTACTATTGCTTACCCAAAAGTTGAACAGATAGCGTAAGAATAACAGAAAGCAGTTTAGGAAACTTGAGTTACTTGAATTGTTCTCGTCGATCTTTCTTTTTTTGTAAAAGAAAAAACAGCAGCAAAATTTTGCTAATGTTCATAGTTTTAATACAAATGGTAATAATTTAAATCAAATATTAGCAAAATTATCATATTTGTTACATCACCAGCATAACATGTAAGCCATGAAGAAGTGTTCAACAAAATACAGGTGGTGTAATGGTGGTAATGTACAATTGTGCGGACAATCATGCCAAATTAACCAATTAGGAGCTTGCTCTTGTAGGAGCGTGATTATGACCTTGTGCCTGCAGTTGGTGTCCCGGGTGGAAATCCTTTTGGATTTTGTCAGTTTGATTTAAAAAGGCTTCGTCTAGAGCAGGTGTCTCAAACTCAAATTGGTGGTGGGCCATCTCAGTGCGAGGGGGGCAATTTATGATTTGCATATGAGAAGCAACTCATATAACGTGATTCGTTCGAGTAGGAAAATCTGAACTTTAGTGGACAATTGTGCCACGTTAACCAATCAGGAGCTCACTCTTGTAGGGGTGTAATTTTGATGTAGTGCCTGCAGTTGATGTCCCGAGGGGAAATTCTACTGTTGACACCGGACAACAGCTCATCAAACTGGGCTCGGCTCAGTTGGAAGCACTGCTGAAAGCTTCCAATATACAGGTATAGTTTCTGGAGGAGTTGTAGAACTCCTAGGGCTGGGTGCACTTATGAAAGGATCTAATAGACTTGGACATGATGCCGAGCAAATATATGGTGTTTTTCAGCCTTCCTAAAGCATATAAAGCACATCTACTCTCTTAATAAAAACCACTGTAGCCATTTAGCAAAAAAGCTATTAGTTATTATAATAATAATTATTATTATTATTATAATTATTATTATAAGCTATTAGCTATTATAATGAGTCACCGACCAGACAGAAAGCCCCGCCCATGATGCAAATATGCATCTATTGTGAAGTGAATTTGACGTGTGACTAATTTGACAAGTGGATATATGTGACTGCACTTCAATGATAGTGATTCAAAAGTATATGTTTTGGTGGGCTGAATCTTATTATGTTTTTGACGTCAGTTATGGGGCAGAGCAAGGAAGAGGTGGGGGCGTAAATGACCTGGGGGCTGGCAGTTTGAAACCTCTGGTCTAGAGAGTTGTTGAGTTTTTGTTGTTTGTGCGCAGTCGACTTCAGAATCTTAAAATGAGAAAGAAATGAATGAGCAGACTTGATCGTGTTCCCCAGGCGGACGTCATTTCAGGAATCTGACAGTCGACTGGTGTCAAATCTCCACACAGATCCCCCCCTAGTGCAACTTTCAATTTTCAGCTCCAGTAGTTATCAATCCCAGTAACACTGCGGCTCAGACACAAACACACAGAAAGCTCTGATACGGCACGTACGTTCAGCTCCTCCAGCTTGTCGATGGTATTTTTGGCGTCCACAAGTTTATTGGTGAGCTCCACTATCTCTTGATCCATAGTTTTCTTGTCTCTTTCCACTTTACGGAGCTATAAAGAGAAGAAGAAGAAGAAGAAAAAAAAGGACATTCATGAGAAGTTCAATGTTAGGGGTTTTGGGTGAGGTTCAACCTCTCACTTTTTATATAAAAGAACAATATAAAAGACTAGTAATTATTATCTATAACACCAATAAACAAAAAATGCTTAGAATAGTTGTGAACTTATCATGCTCTCATTGAAATTCAAGCAAACAGTCTGGGAATGCGACTGAGGCAGTTCCCATGAGAAAACAGTTGTGTGTAGGGCGGTTCTGATACTGATACTAGCATCAGAAATACTCAATGCCAGAATTTTTGCAGTATCAATGAGTATTTCTGATACAATTTGTAGTATTTGAAACCATAAACCGATCTGATACCATCTTTTTAAATGAGACATACAGTATAACCACTAGCTTTGCTTAACACTGCAAACCCAAAGTCAGTTCTTCTTCAAAGAAGAGGGTAACACTCTATTTTATTTACTTTTTTAAAGTTTCTGATTGGTTACTTTTCTAAATTAATCATATTAATTTATTTTTTTGCAAATGTAAAACTTGTGAATAGACGTTTCCTTTCAGTTTACATTTTTTTTTTATTTGTGGCTTGTTTCAGTAAAGTACATTAAATAATATTACTGTTGAAAGTCTGATAATAAAAATGTCAGATAATGAAAATACTCTAGTTCACTGTATTTATTTGTTCACGTTTTATTATCGAATAAGTCTGAAGCGCACCATAAATTAACTGTCAATTTACACAGGGCTAGAAGTACACACATCTGCGATGGTTCAGTATTCTGTATCGGCCGATACCCTGAGCTCAGGTATCGGAATCGGTATCAGGATGGGACCGAATCGCAACATCTCTAGTTGTATTTAGCATCGTCTCTTAATTAGGGCTGGGTACCCAAACCTGGTGCCAATATTAGCACTGGTACCTATATACCAGACCAGATCAGAACACAAATTTTGGTGCCACTTAACTGCCTGAACTGTTAATTGAATAATATTTTATCCTCAGGTACTGCGATAGATTCAATTGGCGATTACATTCAACAAGCATGATCTCGAGTTACTGGGGTGTGATCAGAGAAATTACCTTAACCAGTTCATGTGAACATCAGAAAGCTTTGATGGCAAGACATCTTTGTAATAATGTTACTCTCCACTTTGTTTTCACATTAATCTTGTTTGTTAATTAAAAGCACACATCATTTGTAAATGAGATGGAAGTGTGGCTGCAGCAAGGGGTAGCAAAATACTGGAAAAATATAAAATATTGTTTTATAATATTGAGTAATATTGAGTGTCGCAATAACCATATTTCATACAATATAACTAACTTGCAAAATGCAATTTTATCAGCATTTTTAGAATATATGTACATTTATGTAATGATCATACTAAAATAAAAAAGTAATGGATATGTTTCTGGGCTACTGTAATTAAATCTAAAAAATATATGTCAAGGTGCAAACATTTAGACCAGTGGTCACCAAACTTGTTCCTGGAGGGCCGGTGTCCTGCAGATTTTAGCTTTAACCCTAATCAAACACACCTGAACAAGCTAATCAAGATCTTACTAGGTATACTTGAAACATCCAGGCAGGTGTGTTGAGGCAAGTTGGAGCTAAACCCTGCAGGGACACCGGCCCTCCAGGACCAGGATTGGTGACCCCTGATTTAGACTTTACAACACCACAAATGACTGAAAACCTCTGCGGAAATTCTGATCCTTACTGGCTGCTGTCATTTTCCTCTTCTGTAACCCAGCATTAATTTTTAGTTTAAGTTTTCGGTTCAGCTTACAGCACCTACTAGAGAGGTGGGTGTGAAAATGGTAAAAGTCACATCTGATTGTCCAGATTTGGTCAGAAATGACAATTTTCCAGCTTTATTCAAAATATCTGGTTTTGTGTTCAACAGAAGAAACTCATAAAGGTTTGAAACTACTTGACAATGAGTAAATAGTGAGTACGTTTTCAATTTTTTGGGTCTAATCGCTTTAATCTTATATGTCCCTATATTTATATATATACTGTATACACAGTTAGCTCTAAAAATATTGGGACATTGACATAATTCTAACATTTTTGACTCCATACACCAACACAATGGATTTGAAATCAAATGAACAATCTGTGCTTTAACTGCAGACTGTCAGCTTTAATTTGACTATTCGCATCCAAATCAGGTGAACGCTGTAGGAATTACAACAGTTTGCAAATGTGCCTCCCACTTGTTAAGGGTCCAAAAGTATTGGGACACAATAATAATCAGAAATCAAACTTTCACTTTTTAATACTTGTCAAATCCTTTGCAGTCAGTTACAAACTGAAGTCTGGAATGCACAGACATCACCAGATGCTGGATTTCATACCTGGTGGTGCTCTGCCAGGCCTCTACAGCAACCGTCTTTAGTATCTGCTTGTTTATGGGGCAGTTTCCTTCCAGTTTCAGTCTTCAGCACGTGAAATGCATGCTCAATCGAATTCAGGTTAGGGGATTGACTTAGCCACTGCATAACATTCAACTTCTTTCCCTTTAAAAACTCTTTGGTTGCTTTTGCAGTATGCTTTGGGTCATTCTCCATCTGCAGTGAAGCACCATCCAATGAGTTCTGAAGCATTTGGCTTAATATGAGCAGAAGATATTGCCTGAAACACTTCAGAATTCATCCTGCTGCTTTTGTCAGCAGTCACATCATCAATAAATACAAGAGAACCAATTCCATTGGCAGCCATACATGCCCACGCCATGACACCACAGCCACCATGCTTCACTGCTTAGGATCATGATTAGTTCCTTTGCTTCTCTATACTCTTCTCTTCCTATCACTCTTGTACAAGTTGATCTTGATCTGTCCATAGGACGCTGTTCAAGCAATGTGAAGGCTTTTTTTAGAGCTCTAATCTTGCCTTCCTGTTTTTGAGGCTCACCAATGATTTACATCTTGTGATGAACTCTGTATTCACTCTGGTGTAGTCTTGTCTCGATTATTGACTTTGACACACATACACCAACCTCCTGTAGAGTGCTCTTGGTCTGTGAAGGGTGTTTCTTCATCAAGGAAAGAATTCTTAGGTTGTCCACCACAGTTGTTTTCTGTGGTCTTCTGGGTCTTTTGGTATTGCTGAGCTCACTGGTGAGTTCTTTCTTTTAAAGAATGTTCCAAGCAGTTGTTTTGGCCTGGCCTAATGTTTTTGCTGTCTCTCTGAAAGTGTTTTGTTTTTTCAGCCTAATGACGGCTTGCTTGACTGATAGTAACAGCTCTTTAGATCTCATTTTGAGATTTGACAGTAACAGATTCCAAATGCAAATAGCCCACTTGAAATGAGCTCAGGACCTTTTTTGTGCTTACTGTAATTGGGATATTATAGAAATAACACACAACTAGCCATGGAACAGCTGAGAAGCCAATTGTTCAATTACTTTTGGACCCTTAACAAGTGGGAGGCACATTTGCAAACTGTTGTAATTCCTACAGAGTTCTCCTGATTTGGATGTAAATACCCTCAAAATAAAGCTGACAGTCTGCAGCTAAAGCACAGATTGTTCGTTCTATTTGAAATCCATTGTGTTGTTGTAAAAAAAACTGTTAGAATTGAGTTGATGTCCCAATATTAATGGACCTAACTGTAAATATGGATGAATGTAATGAATGTAAGCTATAATAAAAACTATAAAATAGGTTGATCTCAAAAAAGTGTCGAGTCTGACTTCAGTGTTTTTTTTTCTTACTGAAGCTTAGGAGCTCAGTAGGAGGACACTACACTCCTGTGTTGATGATGGCTTCATATGTCTCCCTACTTAAATGACTGAACAAAAGCTCTTCAGAATTTCAAAGAGGACACATTTAACAAAAGCCTTGGTCCTTAAGACACACTTCAGTTCTGTAGGCTCTTGCTCAAAGTGAGAGATTCAAAGACACACACAAATAAAAAGTAGAGAGAAATGGTGACCCTTAATCAAGAGTTCGGCATGTCCACAACAAAGAATTTTCTTTAAAGCAACACAGACTCACTGGAAATAGGTGCTTCAGTCTACATTTGTTTTGTGGTAATGCACTTAAATGAAGACAACAATGACAACTGCTGTTCCCTTTCACACTAATTGCATTTGAAAGGGCATATTATCGACAAAAATTGGATTATTAAGATTTAGTCCTTTGCACAACGCCAAATAATTACCACTAAAAAACTTAATGTCTGTAATTTGTAATGAGTACGTTTGCGTCACTTATTTATCTCCATATAGTCAACTTTTCTGTTGTGCTCAATAGCTCAAATTTGTATGGTTTTGGTACTTGGGTTCAAGTCTGGTGAAGCACGCTTCCACAAAAGAGATTAAAGCGATGTAAAATCAAGGTAAAACTATGTAGTCAAAGTGCACTTTTTTCTTTTGGCCAGTACACACCTAACCAACAGTTGCCATTGGGATAATTGGTTTGGTATGTTCCACATGCTGCCTCTCATTGGGTTAACGTTGAATCTCATTGGCCCAATTTAGCATGTCGAATCAACATCGGCTGAAGAGAGTGATCTGATTGGTTATTTAGCAGCCAATCAGAGCGTGAGTGTGATGTAGTGAAGCGGCGTAGCAAGTAAACAATTCAAGTCAAGAAGGGACACAAAGAGGCTGCTTCTAATTTTGCTAAATTTCTCAAATATTCTCAAATTATATGGATTTAAAGATTTTAAGACATATTTGCTGAAGTATGTGAGTGACAGTTACTGTGTAATTGGTACTGAACGCTGCTTTGTTTACTTTCCACTATAGCTGTGCGATTAATAAAAGCCGTATCAAAATCGCGATTTGAGCAAGCACAGTTTCTAAATCGCCGTCAGGACCATTTTTTTGGGCTTTAGTCCTGACTGATACTTCTTCCACAATATGCTACATGAACCAATCATAACAGAGCACGCCTAAACAGAGTGAGAGAACAGGAGACTGAACTCAATGACAAATAGGCTGCGTTCAGCACAGGAGAACACAACATCTGCGGTGAGGGAATACTGTGCATACAGGAAGACGGACGTAATGGAGGACCAGGTCTAAAAGCATGTGTAAAACGGGAGAAGCGTTGCTTTCTTTAGCATCTTGAATGTGCTTTGCGTTCGCGCTCCTTTGTCGTGGGTAGGCAAAGATCAACCATTTGATGTTTTCAACTGGGGGTGCCTGGAGTATGTGTGAGCGTCGCTACCAATATGAGCACAAGTCGCTCATCTCCATTGGAAATAACGAAATATATAAAATAACGCATTTCACGGCAGTATCACAACAACAAAAAAATTGTGGATACGTAGAAAAGTACACACAACTACTTCTGATGTGTGGACGAACTTTAATACGCTGTTTTCTTGTGAAATAATGTTTTTGAAGGTAAAAGTATTTTCGTGTGGTTGATCATTATATATTGAAATGAAAAAGCAGAGACTGTTGGTAAACATCGAGTTGCCGTCTAGATCAGGGGTTCCCAAACTTTTCAGCCCGCGACCCCCAAAATGACAATGCCAGTGAATCGTGACCCCCAATATTCTCTGAGGTGGTGGTTATAAATACAGAAACTTTGTATGCAATGACGCGCACAAACACACCAATAGACCCAAGTCTATTCTTTGTTTTTTTTATGTATGTCAGTGCTGTAAATGGGCTAGAAAGTTTAACCTGGTGTTACAAAATCTGCTGCATCTGACAGTATTGCTGTGTCTTTAGTATAATGTAATTACCCGAGAAGTCGCAATGAAATAGAACTAGTAACTATAAGCTACTATAGTAACTATATAGTTTATAGTAACTATAAACGACTGTTTTTTTCTCTTCAGTAGGTTATTGATACAATACAGTAAGTCTTAAGGTTTAATAAAAATTGATTTTTGAAAATCACCAGGCGACCCCCCTTCATTGTCCCGCGACCCCTCGGGGGGTCCCGACCCCCACTTTGAGAACCTCTGGTCTAGATGATCGACACATTATAACAAATGTATTTTTTAATGTTGTGGCATCGAAATTTCATTGTATTGATGTAAATATACTGTTTTCCTGTGAAATTGTGTTTCGAAGGTGAGGGTATACGTTTCTTGGTGTGGTTAGTTATGTGGGTTGAGGTGAAGGTAAGATTGTTTTTAATCTTCGGGTGACTGTCAAATGTAATTTTTTTTATGTTAGTAATCGGATTTTCATTGTATCGATGTACACTTGGCAAATGATAATAATTGATATACTGTTTCTCTGGGAATGATGTTTGAAGTGTGAAGACAGACAGTCATTGTGTGGTTAATCATGGATAGGCCCACACGGAATCTGCGTGCAGAATTCTGCATATTTTCCGCAGAATTCCGCAGATTTTTAGCCCATCATTAATTCTGTTTATTTACTTGAGTAAATGTGTAAATCTGAATTTATTCAGTGATTTATTACTTTTTATTTTATATATTAAGGTTTTAGTTATGATACTCTGCTGGATACTCCCAAAATAATTCCACAGAAATCCGGAGATTTTTACCAAAATTATCTGCAGAAATAGCAAAAAACGTCCGAAGATTCCGTCTGGCCCTGGTCATACAGGGTTCAACGCTAAGGATTTTTTCTACTGGTCTGATCAGGCCAATGGTTTATATTTTTCCTTGCCCGGCCAAAATTTCCACTGGCCCCACCAAAGAAAAAAAATACAATTTAACAGCTATTTTTTAGCCACATGTTTTAAATAATGTGTCAAAAATAATGCCAATAATTATTTAAATGTTAAAAATTATTTAAATAATACTTTTAAATGTTAATTTATGTATAATATATGTATAATGAGCAAAATTATGTGTTAACAAAGCAAAAAGATCAGTATGGAAAATGTGAAGGTATTTTATTTCAGTTCGAAATTATTTAACAAAAAGGTGGTCCCAATCGGGCCAGTAATGATCCTGTCTACTGTCCCAAGCGTCTCTCATACTGGCCCCGGGCCATCGGGCAGTCCTTATTGTTGAGCCCTGTCATGGATAACAAAATGAATATGAGAGTGGCCATCTAACTAATGACGCATTGTGATTGACTATGGTATAAAAAGGTGGAGTGAGAGGATTGTCACACACTGAGGAAGGCATTGTGCCGAAACGTTTGTGTCTTTAAATCACCCGAAGAATGTAAGAAAAAATAAAAACAGTACGAAGCAATTACTTGATGAGTAAAAATCATTACCTTTTTGAATAATAACATTGACAAGATTGATGCACCAAAGAAGTTTCTTAAGAACTGCAAGCGCGCAGGGCAAACTTCAGCAATATCAATAGATGCCTTATTCATATGTACAATTATATTTTTAATTTAATTATATCTTCGATTGTTGACCAACGACTTGCCTAATTAACCTAGTTTTAGCCTTTAAATTGCACTTTAAGCCAAATATTAATATTTTATGTTGCCTTTTATAGCGTTTAGTTACAAAAAAGACCACACTCTCTGGTGGATTTGTCATCTGAAACGTGCAACAAAACGTATCCTGAGCAATGTATTAAGGCAAACCTGTAGGCTGAGACGTACATTTCCAATGATCCTGGGCTGCTTTATAGCCAATGTGGACCAATAAAAGAGTTGAAGATTTTTGGCAAAGCAACAGCCATCATAATGAAGAGCAAACTGACAGACATCAGATCAGGCTATATCAGGAGACTGAAAGAAATGAGGCAGAGAAAGTGTTTGCATCAGTTTAACAGCTGCATTCCCACCATCCAAAGTTGCAATCCGGTGGTCAAAACGCCAACAGTGTCTGCAGCTCAGTGTTACACTAATGCAGGGTTCAGACTACACAATATCAGCTTGATTTTAGCACAATCCATTTGATGTGGGACGTCGTGCTGATTCATAAACACCAGTGGATTTGTGGACAATATAAAAAGCATGCAGGGGAATACAGAAAACAAAAACACATAGTGGCCGTTGTTTATGATGTTGCTTATGATAGTTATTGACTAGTTCCACTTTCTCTATGACATCACACACGTAGGGCTCTATTTTGACGATCCATGTGCAAAGCGTAGGGCGCAAATATAAGGACGGAAAAATCCGCTTTGCGCCATGGTGCGTGGTCTAAAAGGGTTGAGCTTTTTTTCTTAATGAGTTATAGGTGTGTTGAGAATAAACCAATCAGAGTCTCGTCTCCCATTCCCTTTAAAAGTCAGTTGCGTTGCGCCATGGCACATTTGCTATTTCCATGACGTAAAGTAAGTCTAAGTGGAAAATCTGAGCATTTCACTAGCAAGAAAACAGTTAAACAGAGCATCTGTAGCGCGAGAATGAGAGATAAATGATTAGTTTTCACTTTCGCTCTCGTGGATGGGGAAACCTTGTACGCACAGACATCAATTAGCCTATAAATAATTAATTTACTAATTGTTTATTAATCGTTTGTTAAGCGCAAAGATTTGTTTCAAAACTATTTCTAAATTCAGTTCTAATTTCCAGCAAACTAATAAATGAACAATAATAATGAAGTGTGCTCAAAAACCTGAGTTATATCCAAATACACATGCTGTGCCCCATATGGTCTAAAACCTGACAGGTGGACAAATCTAAGCTTGTTTTTAATAAAACAAATAATATGCACATAATAAATAATACTGCTAATAATAATAATATTATACTAAAGCAAATTAAATGAACTGAAAAAGCTCCCGAGATGAAGAAGACATAAAAGTATGGTTTTTATATTAATGTAGGCTAGAAAATAATGTTTTTTAACATTTTAATACTTTATATTTATATCCTATATATATCCTTAATATTTTAATTATTTTTCATATGTAAAGATATTTGCGTATTGCTCTACATCTTGTGTGTATTAAGCAGTGTGTAAGCGAGGTGCTCAACTAACGTGCTCTGCGCTCGACTCTAGAGCGGGTTTGTTTTGGTCTATTGAAAAATCTATTATAGTTTCTCAAAATAGCAACGCGCCAGCAGTGCACCTCAGAACGCCTTCCTTTTTAGACCAGAACGCCTATGGGCGCACATATGAGCGCAAATGCATTTGCTACTTAAACAGCGTGGCGGAAAACGTCAAAACGACTCTTGCGCCAAGCTGAAACTAGCAAACAATAATTGTGTCGCGCCTTGCGCCACACTGCGCCGGGTGTATGATAGGGCCTGTAATCTTAGATGGCAAACAATAATTAGTTGGAAGGCAAGCTCACATGTTTGTTGTCCAGAAGATGAAAGCAAATTATAAGGCAAAATCGTTTAATCTAAATATCACAAATGACTAAAAATATTGCGTAATCTGCACGAAGCATGCAAGGCCTTATAAACAGCAATGACTACATCCTTTATTATTTAGTAAATGTTTTCATAGGTTGCTCAATCTTTTCTTGAAGTTATCTCAAAGTTGTGCATTTTACACTAAAAAACAACAATTTAGTCAACTTAATCGATTTCTGTTGGTTGAATAATTCTGTGGAACCCAGCATTTTTGTGATCAAAGTATTACACAAATGCACTGCAGCATCTTTCCCAGAATGCATCCTTCCACATGCACAGACACAGATCTATCCAGATGTCTACTGTACAAACAGAGGACAAGGAAAGAGGAGAGATACACAATGCTCATGGGAATGTTATCAACAGTATTAGGGAGAAGAAAGGGATAAATAGAGAATGAGAACGCAACTGCATAGACCCAAGTTTGACTGATGGCAGCCTGAAGAAGATGATGAAGATGATGATGAAGATAATGAAGATGATGGTGAAATACCCAAATCACAAGGCAGCATGAATGAGAGAAAAGAGGAAAGAAAGAAAGAAAGAGAGAATGAAAAGAAGAACAATATTTAATTTAGCTTTTATACACATATATTAGCTCATATATCTGCAAGTAAAAGATGTGAGACGAGAGAAGAAAATGAAAAGATAAAAAGGCGAAAAAAAGAAAAGCAGAAATTAGATGTGAATGATACACTTCGAGATCAACACCTTTTTATCAGTTATAATTATAATATATATTATTAAAAATAATGATGAAATAATAATGCTAAAATTATATAAATAATAAAATAATAAAAAAGATGAAAAACTGCAAATAGTAAAATTAAAAATGTTTAAATAAATATTTATTTAAATACTATCTTAATTTTTTTAATTATATATATGTGTGTGTGTGTGTATATATATATATATATATATATATATATATATATATATATATATATATATATATATATATATATACTCTAAATAAAATAACTAAAAATAAAGCTAAAAAGTAAAAAAATATATAAACAAAATACAAAAAATAAATAAGTAAATAAATATAGTAAATACATAAATATTATGCTCTAACTAAAATAAATAATTTTATTTATTATAAAAAATAAGGCTTATATACATATATAAATAATCATAATATTAATAATATAATACAGATATATTACTCTCTAAATAAAATAACTAAAAAATAAAGCTATAAATAAGTAAATATCACTCTAAATAAATTAACTAAAAATAAGGCTAAAAATAAATAAATAACTGAAAATAAATAAATATGCATTTAGAATAATGTCCCTTATATTCCCTACTGTATTTAAGTGTGATTCTGTGCTCTTGTGTTGATATGTACAGTTGAAGTCAGAATTTTCAGCCCCCCTTTCATTTTTCCCCCGATTTCTGTTAAATGGTGAGAAGATTTTTTCAACACATTTCTAAACATAATAGTTTGAATAACTCATCTCTAACAACTGATTTATTTTATCTTTGCCATGATGACAGTGAATAATATTTGACTAGACCTTTTTTAAGACACTTCTATACAGCTTAAAGTGACATTTAAAGGCTTAACTAGGTTAATTAGGTTAACTAGGCAGGTTAGGGTAATTAGGCAAATTATTGTATAATGATGGTTTGTTTTGTAGACTATCAGGAAAAAAATAAGCTTAAAGCGGCTAATAATTTTGTCTTTAAAATGGTGTTTAAAAAATTAAAAACTGCTTTTATTCTAGCCAAAATAAAACAAATTATCCAGAAGAAAAATATTATCAGACATACTGTGAAAATTTCCTTGCTATGGTAAACATCATTTGGGAAATATAAATACATAAATAAATCTGACTTCAACTGTGTGTATTTAAGTACTGTATGTGTACTGTGTTCCTGTAAACTTGGCTTCACACCAATCGAATAAAGCTCATTGTTATTCTGAACATGAATGAAGAACCAATCAGCATCCAGGAACAGATCCATTTTTTATAAAGCTGTATCTAAAAATATTTCCTCTTTTTTGTTGTTGATTGTATCTGAAGAAATGAATTTGGCAGAAAAGCCTTCTGAACGAGAATGTCCTGACAGCACCTGCTCTAAGAAATGCTATATATAAAATAATCCCTGAGTACACTAGTGGAGATTATGGAGCAGAGCACCACCTGCTCCACCTGTGATAGGCAAAGCATTCGCAAGAGGTCATGGATTGCACACATTGGATTGAATTAAAAATGAACAGATCATGAAGAGCTAAAGCTTTCCTCAAACACAGTATACATATATTAACTAGAATATCTGCAAGTAAAAGATGTGAGAAAAAGAAAAGCATAGACAAATAAAAGGCAGGCAAAAAGCAGAAATGAGACCTGGGAAACAAACTACAAGATAACCACTTTTATTTTCATCAGTAATAAATGATCGAACAAAGATCAGTCTGCAACAAGAATTAAAACCTTTCAACTGTATTTCTGCTAATTAAAACAGCTGAAATGATAAAATATGAACAGATGAAAAACTGCAAATGGTAAAATATAAAAAGTTAAATAATTCACAAATAGTACTCTAAATATAATGACAAAAAAGGTATCTAAAAATAGATATAAATTAAATTAAGATAATAAATACTACTCTCTAAATTACAAACTAAAGAAATAATGCTGAAGTAAAATAAAAAAAAAAGTTATAATAAATAATTTATAAAAAGTACTTTAACTACAATTGCGGCAAAAAATATATAAAATAAAGCTAAAGTAAAATAAAAAATATTAAAATATTTTTTTATAAACAGTAATTTAAATAAAATGGCTAAAGCTAAAAATTAATATAAAATACATAAAAATAAATAAATACTACAATAAATAAAATAACTAAACAAAATAAAACTAAAGTAAAATAAAAAAATAATTTATAAAAAGTATAGCAAATAGTATAATAAAATGACTAAAGAATAAAGCTAAAATATAAAATATATAAAACAATAAATACATACACACACACACACACACACACACACACACACACACATTATATATATATATATATATATATATAATATATATATATATATTATATTTATTTATATAAACATAAATAAAATAACAAAAAAGCTAAAAAAAAGTTAAAAATAAATAAGTGAAACACTACTCTAAATAAAATGACTAAAAATAAAGCTAAAATAAATATAAAATATAAAAAATAAATAAAAATAAAATAAATAATAAATAAATACTACTCTATATAAAATAGTAATATAATATAAAATAATATATAAAACATACTTATAATAGATATAATTAAATAAATATAATTATAATAATATAAATATAAATAAAATAACAAAAAAGCTAAAGTAAAATAAAAAAATTGCAATTATTTATAAAAAGTATTCTAAACAAAATGACAAAAAAAAAATAAAGCTAAAAATAAATTAGAGTATGTCAAAAATAATAAATACTACTCTAAATATGAATACAGAAATAAAGCTCAGGCAGAATAAAAAAAATGTTAAAATAAATAATTTATAAACAGTAGTGTAAATAAAATTACTAAATAATAAACATAAAATACATAAATATAACAAATGAATACTACTCTCTAATAAAATAACAAAAAATAAAGCTAAAGTAAATTTTTTAAAAATAATTTATGAACAGAAATTTAAATAAAATGACTAAAGCTAAAAATTAAAATAAAATAAATATGTATATATGTACTCTGTGAATATAGTATTAATGTAAAATAAAAATAAAAAGTTAAATAATTTATAAATAATAGTACTCTAAATAAAATGACTAAAGATTAACGCTAATAAAAATAAATATAAAATATATAAAAAAATACGTAAAAAAAATAAATAAAATAAAATACGACTCTCCAGATAAAATAAATAAACAAATAAAGCTAGAGTAAAATAAACAAACAAATGTATAATACATAAAATGTAAAATAAATGTCAGATGCATTTAAAGTTTTTCCTACAATAATGACAATTAATTTTCTGCTGCTTTAGGCCAGTCATGTCATTACAACCACTATTGGTTGGTGAAAAGTCTCATTCAAATGATTAAAACAAACAACCACCCACTCACTCACTCACTCACCCACCCACTCACTCACTCACCCACCCACTCACTCACTCACTCACCCACTCACTCACTCACTCACCCACTCACTCACTCACCCACTCACTCACTCACTCACTCACTCACTCACTCACTCACTCACTCACTCACTCACTCACTAGACGTAATAAACAGCCTACTTCTATTTCTGAAGTTTTCTAGTCATGCTGAATAAGTCCAGAGATAATTCTGCACACCACCTCAGCTTGATAAAACGATTCCTAAAATAACTTATTGTAGATGCGTGTGTTTGATTAAATTTTCATACGAGCCAAACTGGAAGTAAGAGGAAAATTTAGACTCGTATTGGCTTTAATAAAACATGAAATCCTTTAATAAATGATTCCAACAAGCAACGGCAGCTTCTGAAGAGATTTTTAATAAATGGTGAACGCATGACCTGCTGTTTTTCTGTGACGCACAATCGCATCCAAATAATCTTTAAAATCGCATTGGTTCTAATCGAATCCCACTGTGGGATGACAACAGCAGTCCGGGACAGTTATTATGATGTATGAGGAGATCCGCTGGGAATTGCTTTATGCTTTGTGAAGAGAAAGAGGCTTAGGGACAAATTTGTACATTTATTCAATCTTTAACTTTTGATGCTGTTCGTTTTTCCTCCTCTTTGTCTCTCTTCATTGTTCTCAGAAAATGACATTGTGTTTTGTAGCAGGGCTCGAAAGCAAATTCTCACTCAAGCAAAGCTTTTATGGGGGGAATAAAGGCAAGCGAACAAGCGGAGTTCTGGACGTTCAAGATTGATCCGTCAGCACGGCCTAAAAGGGGTGCTATTATGCTCTTCTACAAGTCTTGATTCTGCTTTGAGAGATGTACTAGAACAGTGTTTCTCAATCCTATTCCTAGAGGCACACCAACAGTACATAAAGTCGCCGGCCACTTTATTAGGTACACCTGTCCAACTGCTCGTTAACGCAAATTCAAAATCAGCACATCGCAGCACCTCAATGCATTTAGGCATGTAAACATGGTCAAGACGATCTGCTGCAGTTCAAACAGAGCATCAGAAAGGGGAAGAAAGGTGATTTAAGTGACTTTGATTATGGCATGGTTGCTGCTTTGAGTATTTTAGAAACTGCTGATACAGAGAATGGTCAGAAAAAGAGAAAATATCCAGTGAGTGGCAGTTCTGTGGGCGCAAATGCCTTGTTGATGCCAGAGCTCAGAGGAGAATGGCCAGACTGGTTCCAGCTGATAGAAAGACAGCAGTAACTCAAATAAGCACTCGTTACAACAGAGGTCTGCAGAAGAGCATCTCTGAACACGCAACACGTCCAACCTTGAGGCAGATGGGCTACAGCAGCAGAAGAACACACCAATGGATTAATGCAGTTCTGAAGGCAAAAGGGGGTCAAACCCAGTACTAGTATCTCCTTTGCTAACAAAAACGCATCTTAATACTAGTGGTTGGCGTTATATTTGTTTTGCCCCTCTTCCACCCCCAAACATACAAATTTCTCTAGACACTTTTATTTTGACAATATTCAAATGAGCCACTTGTGACATCACAACAAAAAAACCCGGAAAACATTGCTGTAGTCCAAACAAGCTGCTCATTGAGGTGATTTTTTTTTATTTATGACAATCTTACTTGAAGTGGATTTTTTTCCCCTTTATTTATCCCCAAACCCACATAGTAGACAATGACTTAAACTCAAAAGATGAAAAAGCATAACAGGACCCCTTTAGCTGTGACCATTACCACCACAACCAGAGCGGTCATTGAGGGCAGTAGCCATGTGCTCTTTTATTTAAAGGAAAAGACATCAATGACAAATCAATCATTTGAAAAGCGAGAGGAAGCTGCTTTGATTTCATCTGACTGAACTTTACATTGAACTGCCACTTCTGATAGCAAATAATCAACTAGAAGTCCAGTTATTATTTGTTGTACCTAAAACTATGATGGGCGACAAGACTTTTGCCAGGTAGTGTATATAGTAATGAATGTCAGTGAAGCAGGGTTGGGCGATGTCAAACATATTGGCTTCGTACAATGTCTAATATGAAACATCCCGATGGACGCTGACATCGTTGTCATTGGCGGCGGTGAATTAATTATGAATAATTAATTAATTCATAACGAATTAATTATTTGTAGCCTGCCGTTTTAACTACCTGACTCGCATGGTCTTTGATTTACCCATAACCAAATCATCAATGAATAAAGATAAGTTACACACATATTTACCACCTGTCAATCACTTTTTCCATGGGACTCGTGAATAGGGTGAGTGATCGGTGTCGTTATAATGGTTGGACAAAGTTGGTTAGTAAAAAAGGTGCACAACCAACAGTATCTCAGATTTAGCTAAATTTACTAAGTACAAGCATTAAAGCGAAAGATTGAACCAGTCTCCTGACCCGCTGACTGCCTGGACCCGCTGTCTTGAGCGCATGACAGAGTAGGTGCGTTCGACATGAAGCTCAGCTGCAGCCGGTGATCAACGAGATTAGCCGAGTGCAGGCGGGGGCGGAGTTGAAAACGGAGCCGTCAAGCCGGACAGCTGGACACTTCGGGACTCAAAGTTGCTGCAGTCATGATGACCGATCACATGGCGTCATCATCATTTATTTATTACAACAAAACATTTACAAATAAAACAGAATACAGTCTCTACAAACTATAGTTCCTTTTTTAAACAATAAGGGAGAATTATGAATAACATATCAAATGCATGAGAGAAATAAGAGAAAATGAGAGGTTAATATAAACATAAAAACGAACAGGTCTATTAAATACAAAGCAATAAGCATAAATTCTAGGAGTTAAACATCAATCTTTAGGCTAATACTTCTTGTTTGAATATGCTAAAAAAGGGTTTACATATATGTACATTTATAGATATAAAAATTTCCAATGTAAAAAGCAAAACAATGCGTTTTGATCAGGTCTTAATAAATGAGATTATTTTGGATAATGAATGCATTTTCAAAAAAGCATTTTAATCCAAAAAGATCATGTTGAAAAGAACAAAAGGTAAAATAAGTGAGCTATGTTAGAAGTTTCCCAGAAAGAGCAGGTAGCCTTTAAACTGCTAGACAGGAAATAAAATATATATTTATATTATAATAATAAAACCATTTTATAATTATTTAATAAAATAGTTCTTTAACTTAATTTGTTAAGAGAGCTTTAGGGTGGCAGACTGGCAGGATCAATGATGATGATTATTTTATTTCAAGTCTGTAAGACTTATTTGAGTTCACATTTAGGTTATTCACTAAAATATACACTAAAATATATATTTAAATCGTTCATAGAGATGAATGCAGTAAATAGTCTGTATAAAAAAAGTTAAAAATAAACCTGTGCAAACAAGCTAACCTTTATAACCAGATTATTTAACAAAAGATGATACTGCAGTAAAATATTTGTGGTCTTTTAATAAGCAAGATGTGTACAGGATAGAGAGGGTGTGAAAAGTGAATTGTTTGTTTTGAAACTTTTGAATCGGAATTTGTCCATGTATATACATAAACCCAAAATACACGTGTTTGTTGTCATGCGGTGAACTCGGCCAATCGTGTAATATCGGTGTCGTCATCTGAGCTCCTGCAGTCGCTCTTCAGAAGCTGCACGGTCTGAGTCGGCCGTCTGATCTCGGAGCGCTGTCGCGGTACTTTGATGCCACATGTGACAGTCACATGGCGTCGGCGCAGCATCAATCCGGACAAGATTTCTAACCAGCATGCACCGATTTAAGACAGATATCGATCGATCTGCGCAGCGCTGCATGAAGTCGAACGCACCTAGTGACTGTGCATGCCTGTGTGTGGTCACGTGATGTGCGTTTTCAGCAGTAGTGTGGAAGGAGGGCTGCCCAGAAATGCTCGGTGAAACGGCAGAGTGGATGTGGGTCATTTTCGTTCTAAAATGCCATTTAAAAAATATGACCTATTAGTGTAAACAGAGCCTGAGTGTGTATTTTTCGTGAGCAGATTTGCAACGGGGGCGAAGGATCACGATGCTGGCTCAGCATTGTGGTGTCTGTCGCCCATCAATGATGGACGATGGCATCTGGTATTGGCCCAACCCTACAGTGAAGTTACATTATATGGTTCTTCACCCAATAGTGTTAACTTCTCTGCAGTGAGATGACGACAGTGAGATAAAACAAAGCCATATGACTACGACTGCGCATGGCACTGTGGCTTTATAAAGCCAGGTCCAAAATGAACAGTCAGAAAGAGCCAAAAAGTGATCTTGCGGATGAACATACTCACAGCGGGCTTGTAACAGCAACAATTTCAATCACAATGCAAGAATGACAGTGTTTTGATCTCAAGATTGAGTCAAATCACCGCCGCTTGTCTTCCAACACGAAGTTCCCCAGTGTACAATGAACTTCCAGTACGCATGAGGAATACTGTGACTTGTTTGCTAGTCCCTAGAGAATGAAGACAAAGTTTCCTCAATTACAGTTTAGGATAGTTGCGACAAACTGACTGAGCGTGGCATCATTAGAGCACTGGAAACAATTAAACAGCAATTAAAGACAGGAGTGTTTAAGAGAAAGGGCTTCAGGAGGGAGAGGGAAGTGAAGTGTAAAGGTTACCAGGGCGTGAAGTTTCTCCTCCAGGTCTTGATTAGCTCTCTGAGATGCCGTGTAGCTGTTCTGAAGTCTGTGGAGGGGAAAAAAAACATCAGTGTGAGGGTTTAAAAGTCGATCACGATGCTATATGATTCTCTGTACAATGCAAAAGCACTCTACCAGCTTTGTTGGCCTATGACCTTGGCACAATATATATTTAGATAATATGTACAATAAAGAACAACAGTACAACATTTCCTCTTCAAACAAAAGTCTATCATGCACAGCTTGAACTGTTTTATTCTAATTATGTAAAAGCAGACATCTTTTAGCACTTCCCAGAGATGTTCTTTAGGTTTAAAGTCTGATATCTTTCTTGATCTTATACAGCCTCTATAATATTTAGGTCTGGACTCTGTGGAGGCCAATTCAGGACTGTCTGTGCTTCATCGACTGTTTTCTTTTCCCAAAAAGGATCTCACTGCAATTAGCAGACCATTATCATGCTGAAAATGAAACTGTTACCACTGTAGTCCTTTCCAGAGGGAATGGTATAATGCATAAAAACCAATCTGTACTTTTTAATATTCACAATTCATATAATATTGCTAACAACACTGGTAGAAATGTAGCTGAAACCAGGACAAACAGCCCTCTCCAACATTGTCTTTTACATGTCTTAAACAATTAAACCAAGTTAATTAAAACTCTAACATATACATATATATATATATATATATATATATATATATATATATATATATATATATTCTACATAACTACAGCAAACATTTCAACAGTCAAATTGACTCAAATGTCAAATAAATAAAATTAAATATAATTAAAAAACTGTGTGAACTGTTGGGGACACATGCATATACCGAACCATGACAAGAGAACGTTTTTTTTTCTTTAAACTGTCATATCCCCAGAAAAAAATGCAAGATGTGTGTGGTGGTACACAAGCCAGACACATTTCTAACTTATTGCAATAATAAGACCCCATTTTTCAAATGCCGAGCTGTACAAGAGTGTCTGCCTGATGTTAAAGTCATCAAATCCTCCAGCGGTCACGATGCTGTCGTAGATTACAGAATAAGCCAGAAGAAGAAAAGCAGAGGCACTTAAAGACATTTTCATCACAAAAAGACATTAAGTGTCTCATCTGTGCAAGTCTTGCAAGAACAAAAAAGGAGCAGATTTTTTTCTGCATGAAAAATGCTGCAAATAAAAGCACAACGTGTTATCATTTTATTTCAACACTTACAAACTTGTACAGCACATTATAGTATAGGACAAGTCATTTGTTTTATATAAGTTTACGAATATGTATACTTTAGTTACTAGACTATGCATACTTTAGTTTGTAGTTTCTTTTGATAAATAAATGACAAATACCAGGCATTATTTGCGCCTTTCAATTTAGGAATAAATGTATGCAACCACAATCCCGACACTCATGAGGAGGGATAAATTATAGCCGAAAGTATTTAAGTTTAAAATAAGATTACAGCATGCTGAATGGCATTCTGGAGAACATAGATTTCATTATTGAATACTTTCACATCGATTTCACATAGAGACGAAGAAATGATTAAACGATAAAAAAAAGTATTGAATTTATCACCATTTTTGTAAAAAAAAAAAAAAAAAAAAAAAGATTTCTTAAGGTGCTTTTAACTTGAAAATTTCTCAAGATGTTGGTAATAGCCAAAGCAATCCACATAAACAAATATATCAAACTAATTAGTTAGAATTTTGCTTTGTGTGCAATAAAATTAAACGTGGAACAGAGAAAAAGGATTGAACACATGAAAAAAAGGAAGGCGTGGAAAGACCAGACAGCAGCTGGGCAAATAAAGAGACAAGGCTTATCATTTTACTTCAACACTTTTAACTTGTACACAGTACATTATAGTATCTGCAGATTAGGTCATTAGTTTTGAATAGGTTCACAAATAGGTATACTTTAGCTTTTAGTTTCTTTTGATAATTAAATGACAAATATCAGGCATTATTTGCGTTTTTCAATTTAAGAATGAATGTACTGTATGCATCTACAATACTGACACTTATGAGGAGGGAAAAATTACAGTCGAATTTATTAAGTGTAATATAAAGCTACAGTATGCTGAATGGGATTCTGGAGCATGTCGGTTACATTCTTGAACACTTTCACATAGAGTTCACATAGAGACAAAGAAGTGATTAAAAGGCAAAAAACAAACAAACAAAAAAGTATTGAATGTATTAAGTATTGAAGGTGCTGTTGACTTGAAATTTTCTCAAGATGTCGTTGATAGCCAAAGCAATCCACATAAACAAATAAGTCAAACTAAGAATTTTAGAAATTTGCTTTGTGTGCGAAAATTAAAACGTGGAACAGGGGAAAAATAATATTGAACACATGAAGAAAGGAAGGTGTGGAAAGACCAGACAGCAGCTGGGCAAATAAAAAGACAAGGCATTATCATTTTATTTCAACTTGTATACAACACATTATGGTATATGAAAAACAAGTAATTTGTTTTGAATAGGTTTATGAATTTGTATACTTTAGTTTCCAACTAACAAATAAAAATAATTAAATATTTAAAAGGTAAAGAGTGATTAAATATTTCCTTAAAATACCCTAAGAATAAACCCGGTGTATTTTGGAAATGTACAAAAGATTGAAAATATTTCAACAAAAACATGCAAGTATGATTTTGACCACTTTGTTTGCACATCTCACAATATTTATTCAAGATCTCAAAAGTTGACCTTTTTGATAAATGACAGGTTTCACTCCAATTTGAATTGTCCAATTATTTTTGAGCACAACGGCCATATCTCAAAATCTAATTAATGATTGACAGACAGACAGACCCAAATGCTGTCTTATTAATTTTATAATGTTTTCTTTTTAAATAATTTATTAGACTTTACAAAAAGGATGAGTCTGACCTAATGAGCCAACGAACAGAAAGTCCCTCAGAGCTTTAGTGCTTTCCACTGATGCTGTGAAAGTGAGCTACTAAAGCCACATTTTAGAATTTATTATACTAAAACCTGAATTATCATAGAAGCAGTAGTTATGAAAATGAGACACATACATAGACTAACTTAATAAAAACAAAAGTTAGAATGGCATTCGCTTTAGGCTACATACAGTTGAAGTCAGAATTATTAGCCCCCCTTTGAACTTTTTAAAAAATATTTCCAAAATTAAGTTGAACAGAGCAAAGAAATTTTCACAGTATGTCCGATAATACTTTTACTTCTGGAAAAAGTCTTATGTGTTTTATTCTGGCTAGAATAAAAGCATTTTAAGGTCAAAATTATTAGCCCCTTTAAGCTATATATTTTTTTCGATAGTCTACAGAACAAACTATCATTATACAATAACTTGCCTAATTACCCTAACCTGCCTAGGTAACCTCATTAACCTATTTAAGCCTTTAAATGTCTCTTTAAGCTGTATAGAAGTGTCTTGAAGAATATCTAGATAAATATTATTTACTGTCATCATGGCAAAGATAAAATAAATCAGTTATTAGAGATGAGTTATTCAAACTATTATGTTTAGAAATGTGTTGAAAAAAATCTTCTCTCCATTAAACAGAAATTGGGAAAAAAATAAACAGGGAGTGAATAATTCTTACTTCAACTGTATATGTCTAGGAAAATAACCTAATTTAATTTCATTATTTTTATTTATTCATACCTTTTTTCATTTTTTTTTTATTGTCAATGAAAAACAAAAATCATTTGAGGCCTTTATTGCTTTATATTTTATAAACTTAGCACCAGTTCTTACAAAAATTCGATACAAAAATTTAAAAAACGTCTATTTGCATTTATGCGTGTTCTTAAACAGCGCTGATTTGCCATTGTGTTCATGTGCTCAACAGAAATGACTACGATTGGCTGTGAAGGTCATCAGTTTACCAAACTCACCGTTGTTTAGAGTGTAACTACAGATACAGGGACACTAAAGTGTTTTAAAGCCGTGAAGATCCACCAAAATATTCCACCAAAATAAAATATGATCATGCCTTGATTTTTAATAATTAATTAGGACAGTAAGGTCTGACTTGGCTTAGACAAAAGTCTCGTCACTTAACAGAAATAATGTCCAGTACAGAATATAAAGTCCTGCTGCAGTGGAGACAGAATGAATATTGTGTCTGACTACATCATGAGCTTGGAGGACTGCATCCATACATCTCTGACATGACTCAAATCACTGATTAATAAAGTCATCTGGAATGACAAAGAAAGCGTTCTTGCAGGACTCCCAGAGCTCATCAAGATCCTTTGGATTCATCTGCAATGCGTCTTCCATCTTACCCCAGACATGCTCAATAATGTTCATGTCTGGTGACTAGGCTGGCCAATCCTGGAGTGCCTTGACCTTCTTTGCTTTCAGGAGCTTTGATGTGGGGGCTGAAGTATGAGAAGGAGCGCTATCCTGCTGGAGAATTCACCCTCTCCTGTGGTTTGTAATGTAATGGGCAGGACAAGTTATTATTTGTTTGTCTTATAACTGGGATCGACAAAAAGACTTTTGTCAGGTAGTGTACACTTGTTACCATATTTGATACCACATTGAATTAATCACAGCTTCAGCAATTTGAAAATTGCCCTCTTTTAAATTGCCATTTTGGTTTAGAAACAATCATTTGTGCAGGTCTATGATATGGCAATATCACATTTATTCTCAAAGCAAATGAACAAAAATTGGCATTTTTCTATATCGGCCTAGAATTTTCCTTTGGTGTCTACTTTTGATTCTAAATCTTGATTTAATCAATAAGTACCAAGGCTTTCGAGCATCAAACTATTAGAATGAAACATCAATTTGATGCAGCTGGCAGGGCATCCGCTGCGTAAAACATATGCTGGATAAGTGAGCGGTTCTTTCCGCTGTGGTGACCCCAGATAAATAAAGGGATTAAGCCGAAAAGAAAATAAATGAATGAACATCAATTCAAATGCACAATTTATGTCTACAACGTCCATCTAGCCCACAGGCCGTATTATCTCCAAGTTCTGCCAATCCGTCTACAGCAGAAAGCTCGGTCTCAATCACTCCTTCCCTCTGGTGGA